AAGATGGACCGCAGAGAGAGAGAGCGAGAGAGAGAGCGAGAGAGCACGCAAGCAACTTTTGAGATGTGAGAGATTTGTGACGTTTTGTGTGTGTAGTGTTGTGGATAGTTTTGTGTTGTGTGTCAGAACAATGAGGCGACTGCTGTCTCCAGGTAAAAACAGGAGTGATACACCTGCTGCTGTCAGACCTGCAGGTATCAGGCTGTGATGTTCTCCTTTATAGTGGACAGAAATTATTTTTTTGGAGTGGCACAAATAATTTCTGGCATCTTATTGAATGCAGAACAGCTGATTGTTATACAAATAGTTTGAAATGGTTATTAAAAAAGGTAAAAGTTAAATGGCTGCAAATAACTTTGTTTGCAAAACTTGTCCATATGATTTTAAAATTGACAATTTATATTTGCATTTAAAGTTATGAAGTATGATTCAGTAAACATGTATGTGGTTGTTACAGTAGAAAACAACTTTTTCTACTCTGATTTTATGTTTTTAGATCAATTGTGTTAATACAGTATGTCAAAATGAAAAGAATGATACCAAACACGGTAAAGTAAATAGTTTTTAAAGGTGAAATGTAGAGGAAAAATCGAAGGTAGTGAAAAACGGCCAATTATACCCTGGACCCCAGAGGGTTAAAAAAAAAATTAAAAATTAAAAACATTAACTAATAGTTAGTTTTGAAGTAATTAATTACTTTTAGAATCTTGTAACTCAGTTACTAACTCAGTAACTAGTAACTATAATTAATTACTTTTTCAAAGTAACTTACCCAACACTGTAAACGAGTGACCACTGTATACAAATACTGAGAAATATACAATTTGAAACCTCTCTCTTTTGCTCTGAGGCGCAGAGGAAAATATATCGACAAGACGATGAACATCATCTACAGATATATTCGGTAAATGCCCAAGACATCTTGAGAAATGCAAATCGCCACTTGATTAATCCATTTGGTTGACTTGTTTTGGAAAACCGACAGTAAACAAGGAGCAAATATCACACCGGAAACAAAGTGCTATACAGGAGTTTCTCCACCGGAAGTAGAATATGCTAAGGTGCACATAGTCTATGCTGGTGTGACCACAGTGCACATGTCTGCCGTTGCTCACAACGGTCCAAGGGTCTGCACAGGGAGTTTGTGTTTGCTCAGACACACGAGAAATTAGAGAGAAAATTGCTAGTGACTTTAAAAATCCATCCATCTCTTTGTGAGACATCTTACCTGTAAGGCCAACCTTTTTACGACACATGAAGCACCGATTCTTCTTGGGTTTGGGGGGCTCGGGGGATTTGGAGTCTTCACTGCCAGCAGTGGAGGGATGTGAGGCTGAGATGGCTGGCTGACTCACAACTGGAAAAAGAAGGAAAAAGACTAGACTTAAACTAGAGCTAGGCCTTCGTATAAAGGTTTGTAAACTGGGTGGTGAAAACACAAATATTCACCATTTCTTTCATTTCTACCTTAAATAACCTCATACTAATGACACGTTTCTCATTTCATGGTAAAAATAAGGGCAAAAGCAGAACATAAATCTGTTAGTCACACTTTTCCACCCTCAGGACTGAACATGTGCACTCAGTAAAGTGGTTGTCTGTCTATGTGTTAGCCCTTTGACAGGGTGGCGACCTCTTCAGGGTCCCTCTGCCTCTCGTCTTCTGACAGCTGGGATAGACTCTAGGTTCCAGCCACCCCCGATTCAAGAGAATGGATGGACGGAGAAAACAGATCCATTTTTAGTGCCCACCTGGCTCTATGAGCTCCACTTTACTGCCTGACGCTCCTTTCTCTTCAGAGGAGAGACTCATCTCAGTCATCTGTTGTGTTACAGAAATGGCAGGTGAAATCCCACTGCAAAGGATAAAAAAAGGAAAAAAATAAATAAACAGATTTAAAGTGGACCTATTGTGCTCTTACTTTCTGTCATGTTTATACTGGTGCTCATGCTATGTACGAGTAATCCCTGCACTAAACGCAGAAGTTTTTTTCTTCTCTTGAATCTCTATGATGTCACTTTAAATGGATATCCCCAGATATGATTTTTTTCAGGCAGAGAAATAGCCAATCACAGATAAGTCTACTTAAAAGGAGAGGATCTAAAACTGCTCGTTTCAGACAGTGGGTGTATTTGCGAATTCGAATTGTGAATCATGCTAAGCTGCTCTACAGTAATCAAAAAATACATATGGAAATAAGCAGAACAGGTCTGCTTTAATATTCCCATGTTCCATATATCAAACGTAGCATCTCAAACACACAACACGTTTAAGATGCTACAAAAGGATTCATTGTTTTAGGGACAAAGTTTCTGCAGGTTTCCACAACTTAAATTTCCAAAGACCATTTTGAAAGCATTGTAAGTGGAATTTAAGCTGCAAATACAAGCAGCTGAAACAAGTTGCTGGGTTCAGTCTAAGAAACAGAAAATCGAAGCAAATTGGAGCAGAGCTGCTGCTTCTACGCGATTTCCTTTGGAGGTTTTCAGGGCATGCCCAAGCAGAAGACACTGAGGCAGACCCTCAACCCTCTGAGATGATTATACTTCTCATCTCAGGATCCCCCAGGAGAAATGGGGCTAAGGAGAAGGACAACTAAATGGTAAATGGCCTGTATTTGTATAGCGCTTTTCTAGTCCTTAAGGACCCCAAAGCGCTTTACACAACCTGTCACGCACACATTCACACACTGGTGATGTCTTGCCCAAGGACACAACGACCAAGACTGTCGTTGTGTCCGGGGCTTGAACTGGCAACCTTCCGATTACAAGGCGAACTCTTGAGCCACGATCGCCCCAACGGGGAATACCCTGCTTAGCCTACTGCCATTCCGAGGTTAGATAAGCAGAAGACCATGAATGGATGAAACTACACACAGTCCTGAATGGTCACAAAATTATTGTACAGCTGTAAGAGACTACTGATTCGCCTGACGGAAATCCCAGTTTTTACCTCTACATAAACCAAATCTTGATGGTTGCTGATGTTTTACATTCCTGCCATAGATGCCACTTCCTGTCACGGTTTGACAGGGACCCTGCTGGGTCCACTCACCTGAGTGCCTCTGTGGCAGCAGCAGCATCAGAGGCAGCGGCGGCCTCAGCTGCCACCTCTGCAGCAGCAACTGCAGCAGCCGCAGCATTATTCAGGGTGGCCTCTAACCTCTGGATTGCAGAAGCCTCAGCTGTGGAGCTGCTGCCTGAGGAGAAATAAATCACAGCATGCCACAGTGAGACACCGGGGATGAAGGCAGAGCAGCTGCACACAGACGAGGAGAAGAAAATAAAACCTGAGGTCTTACCCACTCCACTCAAAGAACCAACTCCTCCATTATTCTGTCGTGACAGGTGCTCCTTGTGGCACACGGAGCACATGCCGTTAGTCCTGGGGTTGCCATAAAAACCACAGCCAGTGGCACAGAGCATAGGAACTGGGCTTTGATTGGTCTCCTGGGCCATAGCGGTATTTCTGCCACCTGATGAGCTGACCTGGAGACAGACATAGAAAAATAAAAGGCATTGTTACCGCAGCAGAGTCACACAGCACAAAGACACTACTGAAAAGGAAAGAAATGATCGTGTCCTGAACCTAAAGCAGTTATATTCACATCTGTACCTGATGTGTAGCCTTTTTATTAAATCACTGACTCAGTTGGAAGCTGTTCCAAATCAGCTGTCACGAAACCCATTATCACCATCAGCCTCACATGTTTACATCTCATGTGTAATAAAAGGCAATTATTCTAAAGTTAATATGATGAAGTTAAGATGACTGAGAACCTTCACAGACAACGCAATTATTTGTTATTCTTTTGGGGACATAAATTTTAAAGAGCAGCTAATCACTGAAAACCTCTCTCCAGCCAATAGAGGTTGTTGCTTTACTTTGTGCGAGTTTCACTTCAGTTTAGTATTCTCCCTGAAAAGTTAGCTAGTCGTGTGATTTATAAGGCTGCATAATATCTGGATGTTTGCTCACTGGACCCTCTGATATTTGCATTATTTTAATGTGAAATAAATTCTTAGCTTGTCCAGCTGATGTTTTACTTTATTAAGACACTTATTACATGGTGTTCTATTGTCATTTATTTTGGATTTTTATTTATTAGGTTCCTTCATCTTATTTTTTCTACTCGTCCAAGTTAGTAACTAATTTGTGTATTTGACATTTTGAAATAAATTTTGAGCCATTTTACTTTTTAGCTATTCTGTTATAGGTCATGTGTGCTGCAACAGGAATTTCAACTTACCTATATAGAATCTGAAAAATAAAAACTACAAAACAAAATATGTGAAACTAAATATTAGTTTGTTCCAAAGTGGGTTCAAACAGGAAAGGGAGCGGCAGCAGAGTTCACAAGGAGGGAAGCTCAAACGAACATGAATCAAAAAAATAAAATAAAAATACAAACTGTGACTGCAGTGGAATTTTTATTGTTTTTAATCTCCTAGTTTCACGTCACTGCAAAAGAAGAGGTCTTTCTCTATTGTGACTTTACTCCACTTAAAAAGGGCTTAGACAAATGACTAAAGACCACCACAAACATAAAAAAAGAAAAAGACAAGCCCACATTTTTTAACGCTTCCCCAGTGACAGTACACAACTACAACATGTAGATTTTTCCCTAAGCACCTACGCATCATTACCTCTGGCACTTCAGCCACTTTGATTTCTGTTTCAATGGTCGCTCCGTCAGAAAATCACGTCTTCCTGACAAATGAATCATGTCTGTGGCAATAAATGGTATTTGTGTGTGCCCACACAAACCTGTAGTTGAAAAAATTTATGCAGGACACCAATGTCTTCTACAGATGGTTGAGGTCCGATTACAGTAATCACCCTGAAAGTATGAAAATCCTTCAACAGTACAAACTGAGCCCAATCTAATGGGCAAGGTTAAACTGCCCATGCAGGTACTGTAAGAATTTGCCAAAAGTTGCCAACATCAGCATTGCTGGCATCAGCAGCATTGCATCCTTACAGGTTAAATGTGCAGCTATGATTGATACATTGGTCATTATCAAAGTTTTCTTGACCAACTGGCTCGTGACAAAGCATTTCCAAATTATTCAGTAAAATGAATCAATTTAAAATAAAAATATAAGCATAACTAAATCAGAAACCTTAAACAATTCAAAGACATGAATAAAGCCAAATGAAACCCAAGTGAATTTAAAAAAAAAACACTAAATAAAACAAAAAAGAGAACACGCAATAAAAATGATTAGATAACTTCTTCTTACCCAAAACTGAAAGCAGCTTGCTTCAAAATTAATCAGAAGAGATCTCAGTTAAAAATTGATGAAAGGGCAGGCAAAAGAAAGTGCCAAGTAAAACACAATGAAATGCTAAATCAAATAAAAATGCTTTATAATTTGCTGAAAAATACTTGTAAATAATAAAGCTCACATAAGTTTAAATGAAAGTAACTATGGGTTTACTAAACTAAAGTCAAATATAAAGCTACATCTTAAACTCTAGATACCACATTATTAAATAATACTTTAAGGGAATAGCCAAATAAAAGAATGAAATGATGCTAAACTACAGAGAATTCAAGTAAAAAAAATCTAAATTTACAAAATACTAAAATGCTCAAAAAATAATAATAATAATAATACAGACTGTATAATAACAATGCAAACTCTCTTCCTCAAAGCTGAGAACAGCTTCCTGCCAGGCAAGTTTAGTCTAGTAAACAGCTGCAGCAGCCTTGTGATGACAATGATTTTTATAGGAAGTTGTGAAGATCTTGCTTCAGGGAAAATCAACTGTCTACAGTTACAGTTTATACACAGTGGAAGCAAAAGGGGAAGAATTCCCATCACTAAGTTCATATCCTGGTGAGTTACACTAGTCTTTCTCCTCTTCCCCAAAGCTGTGGATAGTTACCGACCACTGCAATGTGCAGCTTCACGTGTGTTCATTGCAGTGTGACTACAGACTGCGGAGCTCCGCTTCCAGCCAGGCTCACATGGACATGTGCATAAGGGCTTTCCACTGTCACAGGAGTGCAATGTGACACACACACACACACACACACACACACACACACACACACACACACACACACACACACACGAGTTACCTCAATACACCAAGGCTGTGAACACATCTATTTATAGACAACCTCAGGAGTGCTGCAACCAGAGCTGGAACCCTGGCTAAAATTTGTATCCACGTCAGAGACAAGGTTTCTCCTTAAACATAAGAACAGCCCACACACACTTTGCTGGAACATGCAGGTGGAGGAATTTAAACAAAGGGGTGACCATAAAAATTCATAACAACACCTGTGGATAACACAAAGAGCAGCTGGAGCACGTTTATCACCCAGACAAAAGGCGAGTCGCTCCTCAGCCATACTTCTGCCTTAATCCCAGAGCTAAACACGCATTTAAATATCCCCAAAGGGCTCAGTCAAGTGAGGAAATATCCTTCATCTTCAACTACTTCACAGCACACAAACAGGGCCACACAACCGTTTTACTTCTACAAATCCACTGAGTCATGCTAGCAAGCTAATGCACGCTGTTTGCGTTTTAACCCCCCCTTTAAAACCAAACATTTAACAAATAATTATTCCTCATGGTGTTTGGTAACACTGTGGGTATTTTTTCAAGGTAAAGCTGTGATTTAAAGGGTTACTTAGAAATACTAGACAGCATGCTCCTTGCTAAGTATGACTCTTCTGATCTCCCCGTTAGCATGCTAAAGGCAACCTGCAGCTAGCAAGCTTAGCGTGACTAGTTTGCTTTGTTCGCTCTTTTGTTGTTTGTTTAGAGTCACCACAAATTTTATAAACAGAAGTCTCTACGACTCTTAAATAAGAGAAACAAGGGGACAAAATACACACTAAAAATAAGTGTTAAAACATCACTGCTAATTAGACACAACCTAGGGAAATTCAGATGCTACTGCAAGCTGCGGATAGATTTAAGTTGAAAAAAGGAGATTTTTAGAAAGGAGAAAGACCGGTTATTAAATAGCTGTAAGGTTAATGCCAGGTTTAGCAGCTATATAGCCTCTTAAACCTATTTAACGTGTAGTCTCACCCTTGGAAAACTTTTTAAGGACACGTGTTAAGCAGCCAGACAGTCACTCTTTAATCCTCACTAATTAAGTAAGCCAATTTTACATCAACGTCGACGTTACTCGTTTCGGAAAATGTGCTTTTTAAACTGGTTGTAGCTACAATTAGTCCTAGACTGAGACACTTCCCGAAACAACTACTAAGTAACTAACTAACCAGCAGACTGCGGTTTAACTACTCGGTGTTATCTTACCTTTTCGTGCCAGAGAAACGCTGTTTTGTCGGCTAACAGAAACACCTGGATTTCTCTTGGAGCTGACTAACTAGGGCCGTCTAGGTTTAATCGTCGCGTGTGCCCGTTTCTTTTCGGTCCTCTCTCCGTCTGGGAGTGATGTTAGTTGCTCCCGCTGACGTCCTCAGTGTAGGAGAGGTAGTGGCATCTGTTTAGTTTTACGTGTTACGTTTGCGTCCTCTCTGCCTTCCGGTACACGTCATGGAAATTGTGATCCTCTGATTGGAGGGCATGGTTGTTGGCGAAGAGCCACTAAAGATTTCAGGACAGCAGTCCTGGTTTCTACAAACATACCTTTACCCCACATAAACAAACATCTATGTAGAAAAACAGATTTCAAAACATCAACACGTCACTAAAAGTAATGAGATCAGACAAAAACAAAACAGTACAAAACATGGCACATCTACATTGAGTTCCACAGGTGATGCTGTAGTGTTTCCAAGGGAGAGGACTGGTCTTGATCAACATTAAAAAGACCACTTTGGACTCTTCCTAACATACATACAGACAGATCCGGTACACTGATGACACCCTCACACACCGAGGAACATGTAGCAGTTTTTGTCAGAAGTTTAAATACACAAATTATGAACATGAATGTCAAGGTAATTTTATGCTTTTAATGACTTATTTGAACTTTTTTAATTTTACAATGTAACTCTTTTTGTTTAAAAATTAATAACTGGGTTCACAAATTTGAATTTATTTTATATTTAAATTTACGCAAGATCACCACACTACACTAGCAAGGGAGGGCCTTACTAACAGCAGAGATCAACAACCCAGCAATGAACCTTAGCCACCACCTTAAGTACTGGCCTGCTGATGAAATCCTTTGGAACAGGTTGCTGCTTGCTGCACGTTCGTTCAACCAGAGGCGGTAACCACTGTCCCTCCCATGAACACAGACGCAACCTACCATAACATTCATGACCATAATGAGCGCATGTGGACTTCTGACCACAGCTGCATGTAAGAATGTTGTTCATTGGCAACAGCTCAGAATTCAACACTAATTGCAGTAATCTCTGGGAAGTCACTTTCTGTGAGTGCTGAAATTCCAGTCAAACACTCAGGAAAACCACACGAGCATGATAATCAATCAGGGGTGCATGCTGAGGCCTCTCCTTTACACCGTCTTCACATATGACGGTGTGGTCTCCTTATAAAGTTTGCATATGACACTACAGTCATTGGGTTGTTTGCTAATGGAGAGGCAGTGACATAGAAGTGTCAGGCCTGGCGGTGTAGTGTCAAGAAACAATCATTCTCTAAATGTAGATAAGACCAAAGAAATGATTACACCACTGAGGCAGAGATAGGGAGTAAAAACCTTTAAATTTTTCTCTTACTTGATCTCACAACACTCAGCAGCTTCTGAAAAATTCTTAGAAGGCTGATGGAACTTTGGCATGTCACCCAGAAACGTTTACACAGTTGTAGAGCTAAGAGCGTCATTGCTGCCTCAGTTACAGTGTGGCGTGGAGGCTGCATTGTTCAGGACAGGAGGGCTCTCCAGCGTGTGGCAACAACTACACAGTACGTCACTAGAGCAGCCTTCCCATCACTACCACTCTTTCTTGAGTAGAGTGCAAAGTACATATAAGGTTACTGGACTTTTGGTGAGGTCCCATTGTGATTCCGGCTGCTCAAGAGCCCTGGGTCTTTATTGTATTTTTTTATAATGGGTCTAATGTGTTCAACTGGCACCTTGCCTCAAATGACCTCAGCAGCTCACAGGACAGCATAGTGGGACAATGTTTTACAGAGTTTCACACCTTGGCACCAGTGATGGTAATAGTCCATCCCTTTTTTCACACTAGGGAAACTCACATGACTGATATCGCCTCAATAACCCGAAGGACGACCTCCAAGAGAACAAAAACCATCCTGGATCAAACCACTGGGATTCTATGTCACTTGTTTTAGAACTGAAGAAGCCTCTTGGATGACCAATAAGAAGCCCAGTTGCCTTCTTTTCAAGCACTTGAGACTACCATGATATGGATGACTTGTACCCTTCTTTCATGATAGGGCTTTAACCTGAATTTGTGGATGACACAGTGAACTGTGTTTACAGACACTGATTTCTGGAAGTGTTCATGAGTTCCTGCAATGATTCCCATGGCAGAATCATGCCTATTTTTATGTGGTGCTGCTTGAGGGCCCAAAGATCACATCTATTCAATATTGATTCACAGCCTTGTCCAGTGCCACAGACATGAGTCTGTAGAGTCTCTGAGCTTTTTCATCATATTATAGTATGCACTGTAACTTAAGTCTGAAAATGCTCCACAATTTGTAAATGCAGTTTGCTGCACATTAGTGAACCTGTGCCCATCTTTACTTCTTTGAAATTCTACTTCTCTAAAATGCTCTTTTCATACCCCGTCATGTTACTAACCTGTTGACAACTAACTTTATTAACTTAAAATCTTTCCATAGCTGTTTTTCCAGCCTTTTGGTGTCCCATTTTTTTTAGATGTGTTCCTCCCATCAAATTCAAAAGAACTTTATTTTTTGGTAAAATTGTACGTTTATGTTTCCTGTGTTCTGGTGTAAATATGGGTATCTATGATGCGCATCTTATTGCATTCTGTTTTTATTTACATTTTGCACATTTATTTATTTTGATATTTTGTAATTTGGGTTGTAGAATGCATTTACTTATTGCCAAGGAAACAGAGTCAACTTTACATTTATGTATCCAAGCAAAAAAGTAGAGTGTATCTACTTTTTGCTAAGTGGATATGTTTTACTTGGTGAACAAAGGCATTTAAAGATGCATGGAGATCTAAAGAGCTAACTACTGTAGCTTATTTAATGGATGACAAAAGTAAAGTGTTATATCGTGAGTTATGTGAGAAATTCCTTTTGAAATGTAGACTTTTAGAAGCTATAAAAGAAAAATAAAAGCAGCCTTTATCGTTCAAGAAGGCATTTTTACTCTTAGGTGTCTCATGTACCAAGGCAGCTCTGTATAGCAGAAATTGACTTTTATTACATTAAATGAAATAACAGAGCTTAAAAAATATAATGTTAAAGAAAGTCTATAATACTCAAAATGAAAAGAATTGTGTTCTGAACGAATTTGAGGCAATAGAAGTTAAAGTATAACGATAAAATACACTTTAAGATTTGATTCCTCTCCCTCTTAAAGTGACTTCTTATTCATTTATTTACTTACTTGAAATGCAGCTTTAGAGAAAAAGCGTATAAAAACAAGCAGGACGTAAAAGGAAAAGGAAATGAACATCAAGAAAACAAATCACGTGACCATAAGTTGTCCGGGGGACGCATTTCAAACAGGTGCGTTCGACCAATCAGACGCCCAGAACAGTCTTAGGTCAGCGAATCAGCTTCCAGCGAGCGAGGATTTAAACCTCGCTCGCTGGAAGCTGCGTACCGTTCTCCATTACGACTATTCCCCTGTTTGTTGAAGCATCGCTTGTTTCGAAATGGCTCTCAGAGTGACCCGGGTAAGACTTTATCATCTCTATTTGTTACTTTTTTTTTAATCGTTGAATCTGGGGAAGCACTTAGCTTTTTCTTTGACTTTTTCGCTTAAAACCCCCTCAAAACTTAGCTATAACCTTCGTTTCTTGCTTTGGGATTTCTTATCATGGAGCAGGTCGAGAGTAAGGGTTTCCGCTTAAGCCTCTTTAACTAAAAGATAAAAGCGTGCAAACTGTTATAATCATTGTGATTTAACATTATTTTTCTTTCCTGTAGAATCGTTTGGCTTCCACCAAGGTCGACCTCGGTGGTAAGGCCTGCTCTGTGTCTGGGCCCACACAGAAGCCCCGAGCAGCCCTGGGGGAAATTGGAAACATCGCAGTTAACAAAGACACACAGAAAAAGGTAAACATTTCATCCCGTATTAAATGCTTTTCTGTTAAATCTATGGAAAACAATAGAATTATGCAGTGAAATCATATGGGCATAGTGGCTTCCAGCTCTGATCTCAAAACGGTTAAAATGGCCTGAGTGGGGCCACACTTGCAACAACTGGCACAAAATGCTGAATTGAGTCAAAGCGTTGGACAAGGTAAAACTGGTTTACAAGTTTGTTTATTAAAAATTATAATGTCCTGCTAGGGTATGAAGGTATTCTTTTAAGCTTGTTGGGGGGGTTTCCACCTCCCTGGCACACTGTGCCTTGACTACACATGGAACCAGTTATTAGTCTGCATTTAGCCTCTTGCTCTAAAAGAAGCCTACACATTTTCCTGCTTTAGATTCTCTAATTTAAAAAAAACAACCTTATCTCAAACGGAACAGGAAAACCCCTGAGAGTACAATGTGCTCAGATTGACTAAAACTGACTTAACTTGGTGATGTCGGTTTTAAGTGCTGTTGAGACTAAAATTCAGTCTCTAGGTTAAGTTTTTATTTTGACCATAGAGCACATGAGGTGGCTACAGGACTGCTGCTTAAATGGAGGGGCATTGATAACAAGAGAACTCACACTTGAGTGTCGCCCTCCTTTGGGCTACATTAAAATGGCAGCATGGCATACCTGCAGGAGTGAGTTGGCATGCTTCCTGCTGTGAGTTTCCAATTAAGAATGCACAGCGGGGAAATGCGCTTAATGGGTTGTAATTTGTCTGGCAAGACTGAAAGCTCTAGACAGAAGAGGAGCTGGGGCTGAGATTGTCTAAATGAGGCTTAAAATCACGCTGGGAAGTGATCTCTATTTGAAAGTTAACACTAAATTGGTCCCATGTTCAGATTTTTTTTTTTTTAAGGTGTCTTCCTAGACTAGTGAGTTTTCTGGCTTTAACCTGCCTTTTTTTTTTTTTTTTTCCCCCCCTTAGACTGTAAAGACTGAAAAGACTGAAACCCTCAAGACCAAAGTTACAACCAGAGCTGAAAAGGCTGAACAGACCAAGCAAAAAGATGTCATTCCTGTTAAACCTGAGCCAGAGGTGCAAGCCCCACCTGAACCAGCCTCTCCCACACCAATGGAGACCTCTGGCTGTGAGCCTGCTGACCTATGCCAAGCATTTTCAGATGTCATTCTGCACACTGCTATCAGAGATGTCGACGCAGATGACTATGACAACCCCATGCTCTGCAGTGAATATGTGAAGGACATCTACAAATATCTCCGCCAGCTTGAGGCAAGCAACTTAAAGGAATTTAAAGTGGGAATATTGAGCTACTTTCCCC